TTCACAAAACCATCACTGAACCTACAAAAGATTGTTTAGTTGTAAATAGCAATTAAGTCATAGAGCAGGTGGACATCAAAAATAAATTTGGAGCGTGTGATCATAATTTCCTTACATATAAATTAAATGGGAAGCTAAATAGGAATAAGCCTGTATTGTACATGCAGACTTTGTTTCAACAGAAATTAAAACCCAAGGAGTTAAGAAGACTCTCTTAACATGAACTGAAGCCGTAAGGAAACTGGATCTGAAAGAATCCTAGAATTTCTGAGCTGCACAGTGACTGTGGAACTTGCACCCCAAGTAAAGAAGCAAAAATCCCTCCATAGCTACCTGGATGAACAGTCACAAGGTGAAGAGAAAGGAGAGAGATCAGCAAAGATAATTCTTCTTCAAATGTTTGTAGATATAATGTAACATCAATCTGGAAAATGAATTTTTAAAAGAAGAGAATGTTTTTCATACAAGTAAATAACTGAACCAGGAAGGAGAAAGTGGCTATGCAAAGAGGATGGGGTCAAAAATAAAAGTAATTGTTAAAATTAAATAAATATAAAATAAATATAAATAATAAATACAAATAATAGTCTTCAACCAGGAAAATTATAGTGAAGAGTGGAGCAGAGGAAAGGAGCGTAATGAATATGAGGGTACAGGTACTACCACATCTAATTGGAAAGCAAAGCAAACATTAATGGGATGAAAGTAAGAAAACAAGCTAAGGACTTGGATTTTTTTAAACCATAACAAATTTTATTCTTCAGAAAGCAACAAGGAGTGACAGAGTTTGCAAAATAACAAACACTGTTCAGATAAACTTCACCTTATCTGTGCTCACTCAGTTTTGGGAGCTGGAGACCCAGCAAGCAATTTCTCCCTCCAACCCAGTCTTATGGTACGTGTCAGTAGGTGACCTACCCTTTCACCCCTTAAGAATTATCATCTGCTCCATGTTCATGTGTAACACTGATTGGGAATTTCCAGTCCCTTCCTCAAGGAGAAGCATTTATCCAGAAAGTCTGTTGTTGGCAGCAAATGATGAGACTACAGGAACATAAAAATTTGTGACCCTTTGTGGTTTTACCATGGCCTCTCAGCTCACATTCCAACAATCTGTTCTAACCCAGAACAGAGGCTGTGCCACAGAGTGTGGTCCACTGTATAAATTACAATTCAAAACAGAATCTGCATTTCACCGACTTCACCAGGCTCATCCAAATATCTTACTTTGTCAGTAGAAACCAAATAAAATAATCTACACTGTCCATTCCCCTTATGTCTCTGCTGTCCTAAATGTCACTCCTATTCTCCTAGTATCTGAACCGTTTCCTCCTAAAACATTTGCAGCTGCATCACCTCTTCCACATCCCATTTCCCTTCATTGGTGTGCCCTTTTACCGTTCTCCACTTGCCTCTCCCCATGACACCTACAATCAGGCAGGTCTCCTCTCTCCAAACCCGTTACCTTTCCTGTTTCCCGTCTTTCTGCTCTCTTGTCCTGAGCCTTTTTGCCCTGCTCTGACCTCTCCGATTTCCACGATGCCATCATTTCTGTTCCCATTCTTCCAACAAGTGGAAACACTGCAAAACACATCAGCCTGGCTTGTGCAGAGTATTGCTCTTGCCACGCACAAGACGTGAGCAGCACAAACGGGAATAAAACTGTGAAGGTCTGGAGCATGTGATCTGGACTGAGAGAAATCTCAGCTGCTGGACTGCGGTCCCCTTTTCCAGTTCAGACCCTGCCACAGCAAAAGACCTGTTTTGAAAAACACCAAATGCCCAGTTTCTTCTAATAAAATCCCTCAAGCTGAAATTTAGGGAGAGTTTTAACTTTCCATTGGTCAAATCACAAGCTTAAACTAGGAGCCTAAGGACCTGCTGAA